ACACAGGCTTGGTCGAATTGACCAATTCTACTCATTTAAAGTTGTTATAGTTTTGATACTACTAACTTTTAATATATTATGTGTATCTTCACAAAATTTGGCAGACTTTCAGTAAACATTACAAGTCTTTTACATACAAAAAATCAGATTTTTTAGTGAAGTTTTTTAACAAACAAAAAAAAGATTTGTCTGTAAATATATGGAGTCTTTTTTTTTGACTAGTCTGAGTGCAAAATGATTTTCATGTTAAGATTAAAAATACTTTTCATCTCAATAACCTCAAATTTCATTTGTATTATCTCTAAAACCTCCTAAATACATTTCCAACGTTTTTTTTGCAGTAAAACTTTATATTTTATCTGTTGTTTTCTTTAACTCTACACAAGGTTGGTCAATTTGACTGACCTTGTAACCACCTAAAAAAAGAAATTGAAATAAATCTAAATTAACATTTTTTTTCTAGAACAACTTCAAATTGTAACATGAAATTACATTTGTTTTTCCTAAGTAACTTTAGACTCGTAACAGTATACATTTATTTATACTTAAATTATTTGTTTTATTGCCCTTTGATTTCCCTTTGAACTGTGTCTAACTACTTTTTTGCACCATTGTAAGTTGTAAATCACTTGGGGAACGTGGGTCTCATATTGTGCTATCTAATTGCATTACTCACAAGCTACTCCGAGCTGCTCGCATGCGTGCCATGTGAAACTGACAGTTCTCTGTTCAGAAAAAATATAATATAATATGTCATTTGATAGATGAAAACTATTAACAAATCCTGAAAGAGAGGATGTGACAGGTGGGTGTGCCAAGAGGGGTCTGATTTTCTGTTTGATGGCTCTGTAACCAAACAAGATTGAAGGCTAGAAAAATTATGTTTTGTCTGAGTGATGATGATATTATAATGAGTAATTTACCTTAAATTTCAATCTTAGTGGAGGGGTGGTGAATAAATTCAAGAAGAGTGGATGCCTAGAGAAAAAAGTCACATTTCTCACTCTTAAAGTTTATACTAAACAAAGGAAGGCAATGTGTACTATTGTCTTAGCAGTCCCTGGGAAAATAATGTATTTAATTCTGCATAAAAGACCTGTCAAGGAACTCATAAGAGCAAGCCTTTCTTATGTTTCACCAGTGATTATAACTTGAAGTGCAATTCTTTTTTTTCTGTTGGTGATATTTTATCCAGTTTTACTGGTTCAAACCAGGAACAGTATATTAATTAAGTTATATAAATTTTTGGTATAAGAAATACTTATTTCTGAAACACACTTACCTCCTCTCACACTTCAGCTTTATCCCAATGAAAGGTTCTCTTCTTTTGCTGTCTAAGCATTGGTATGAATTCTACCTTGCTTGCTCCAGTCTTTATACCCCTCTATATTGCCTCTAGTGATTGTAATATTGTGACTTTCTCCACCCACATCAATGCTCCCCCCTATACCTGATCCATATATAAGCTCCCTGCTATTCTTTCTTATTCACTTTTTCTAGACGGCAAAGCATTACGAAAATGGTCATACATGTTTACTGCTGGTTTCTCTTCAGCACTGGTACTGCATTTGCAATGTTTTCTTTGACTTGTGTTAGATTTTTCGTAAGGCTTGAATTTACTTATTTTCTTGATTTTACAATTAAAAACGTTTTTTGAGAAGTTTTTCAAAAGTTCACGTCTCAGACACGGAGTCGCCTGATGCCCCTCCTCTACCAGTTGATAAGTCTAACATTACCTGGGCATCGGGGGAGGGAGGGGGCACTTTCTGTGGAAGACATACAGTTCTTTATACACAGTTCCTTATGTAGAATCATACATGTGGTCTGATGCTTTTTCTCCTGTTGGATCTGAGACTGAGTTTGTGGACGATCAAGAACAGACTAGTGAGAATTTAGACTATTTTTCCAGTACCTTCCTCTGCTCAGATTGCTACTCATGAACCCTGGATGGGCATTCTGCCTCCTGTATCCTTTTTTACAACTAGTATACCATGTTTGTAATGTTTTGAGTATTTCTTCTGTGGCTTATGAATCTTCACCTTCTTTATTAGGAGAAACTAGTTTGTCTGATTAACTGGTCCTTCCACCTTTGCCAGAAATTGCTGTTCATGCAAGGAGATTTGCAGATCGATTGAGGTAGGGTGTTGCCAGGCCTTGTCCTTCTTTTTTATTGGAGCAGCATGTCCTAGCTTTTCATCGCCTGGAGAACCCTTATTTGGACTCTCAGATGATAGACCCTATAATTTCTGTTTGGAGTTGTATACAAAATAGCACTGGTCACCTTATTCTGTTTTCCAGAATTCATCTGTCACTAAAAAAAGCTTTGCATTTTTTATCATCTTTGCAACTGTTGTCTGAGGCCTATCATAGATCTCCTGCTCAAATTTCAGAGGGTCGTAGTTATCTGTTGATTTCTGCATTGATCCTGTTATCGGCTGCAGCTGTCTCCTTTGTATCTTGGTTGGTTTGTTGCTGGGATCTTTTGGAGAGAGAGATGCCTTACTGAAGGGAGTGCACTTTCGTATGTCAGCACTTAGAGTTTTTAGAGAAGTTCCTTTTTTCAGACAGTCTATTTATGGAAGAATTCCAGACTCCATGGAATCTTGTGTAGATGTGGCTTATCTACATTCTACACTGGCTTCTTGACTGTCCCAAACTTCTTCTACAGGATGGTTTACTGCATTTCTCATTCGAGTTCCCAAACCTCCTACTTCAGCGCCATGATCCATTGGAACATAAGGGTGATTTCAACCTTTCCAGCAGGGATCCTCCTTCAGGATAGAGCACTGATTTTGACATTAGTGACTACCTTATTGGGTCAGGTTTGTTAAGTGTCATTTCAGAGTGTTCCTATCAGTATGGGAGACATTCACCACAGATCAGGGGTCATTCAAGTTTTCAAGAGCAGAGTGGTCATTCAGTACATGTCTCCTCCTCCTCTGTTTCCCATACTGGTTAGCTTTCCACTCTTCAAGGACCTTCTCACTTCCAACCATTGAGCACAAGTCATCCAGGTTCTTCTCCAAAAAGAGGCCATAGAGCGTGTTTTTATTCTCGGTTGTTCATATTACTGAAAAATATGGGCAATTGGTGACCAGTCATCGACCTTTCTTGTCTCAATCGCTTCCTCCAGTCTCCTCGGATGACAATGAAGTCATTTCTTCCCCTTCAGTGGCTTTTTCAACCTGGACTATGGATGACAAAATTCGACATTCCAGATGCCTACCTTCATATCCCAATCAACGAGCTTTCAAGGTGTTATCTTTATTTTGTGCATGACAACCAGGTTTCTCAGTTTTGTGCTTTATAATTTGGCCACATATCTGCTCCACACATTGTTTGCCAGATAGTCAGAGCTTTTTCATGTCATCTTCACTCTTCATGGATGACTGGCTTTTTCTGGCCCCTTCTTGCTATTTGTTATCAGAAGCTGTGAGAGCTTATTAAAAAGAATAATCTGATCTTACTGCCACACAGTATCTCATCAATTTAAAGGTGTTTTTAAATTCCAGACTAATTCAGGTCCAACCTTCTCCTCTATGCCTTCAGGCCATGGAACGGGTGGTTCTTCAAAAACAGTTGTCTCCTTCTCCACCAGCACACGCACAGTTCTTTTGGGGATGTGGGCATCCTTGGAATCACCTATTCCTTTAGGTTGGACCTACATGAGGGCCTTTCAATGGTTGTTATGGGACCAGTTGAATATTTTCACAGATGTCCTTGATTGTCCAGTGAGACTGTTTGATTCCATTTTGCTGGATCTCAGTTAGTGGTTGAACAGAGTCAACACAACAGTAGGTATCCCTCTACCACCTCCATGGCCAGAGATACATCTGTTCACAGATGCTTCCCTTCAAGACTAGGGTGCTTCTATAAAAAATATGGAATACAATGGAATTTAGACAGTGGAGGAAGCTTCTCTTCACATCAGTCTCTTAAAACTTATAACAGTTTAACATGCTATGACCCAGGGTCACAAATTGTTGGTAATGCTTTATTCAGATAATTCTACAATTGTCTCATACATTTCAAAGCAAGGGGGCACTCAGTCCAGATCTCTTTGTTTTCAAATAATGGATCTTTGTCTTTGGGCACACAAACACCAGATTGTTCTCCTTGCTTGTCATGTTCCAGGGGTAATGAATCTAGTGGCCGACCAGTTATCTCATTCCTACAGAGTGCTTAAAGAATGGATGCTTCATCCTCAAGTTTTTCCTTCAAGCTGCTCTTGTCTAGGGACATCACAGATTGATATTTTTACTGCACACTGGAATGCTCAGCTCTCATTCTTCTGATCTCTTGTACTTCATCCTCTGGCTTTGGGAGTAGATGCTCTCTGCCAGGATTGAACAGGTCTTTATTTTTATGCATTCTCTCTGATTTGTTTGCTCTCCAAAGTTCTGGCAATGATTCACTCCATGTCCTTTTGAATTCTTTTGGTGGCACCATATTGGCCAAGTCAACCCTGATTTTCATTCCTCCAGTATCGTCAGGAGTGTCAACCTCTTCCCCTTCCTCACTGGCCATCTCTTTTTACATCAGCCTCAGTTGGACATTTTTCATCCAGAAGTCGGCATACTTCGACTTCATGCCTGGCTTTTATGCAGTCCATCGCACAACATCAGGGATTGACACCTTGAGTGGTGCCCTTCTTAACATGTTCCATTCAACATTCTTCTTTGGAAGTTTATTGAAGGAAATGGTTTACTTTTTGTCAATGGTCTCTAAGACATGGGTTTCATCCTTCACATCCCACTATATCACATGTCTCTCAACTTTTCACATGGTTGTTTGACAAAGGTTTGGTGCCTTCCTCTGTTGCATTGTATAAGGCTGTCTTATTAGCTGCATTTTGTTTTTTTAAGAGAAGAAAAGTTTTTAGTCACTGGTTTTGTCATTACTTTTAAAATCATTTCAGGTTATCTGTTCTCGTCACCCTTTCCAGGTTCCAAATTGGGTTATCACAATGGTTCTTCATGCATTATCACGTCCACCTTTAGAATCATGTTCATTATATCATCTTTCACTTAACTCTCTCAATACAGGCTAGGTCAACTTGACTGACCATATGACCTTTTTGTACTTGTTTAAAGTGTTTATATATTTAATAGTTATAACTCTCAATATAGTATGTATATCTTCACAAAATTTTGCAGTCTTTCACATACTAAAAATCATATTTTTTAGTGAAGTATTTCTAACAAAATAAAATAAAGATTTATCCATGAATATATTGAGTATTTGTTTTGAGTAGTCTGTGTGCAAAGTAATTTTCATGTTAAAATTAGAAATACTTTTCGTCATCTCAAAAGTCTCAACTTTCCTATGTGTAATCCGTAAAACTTCCTAAATGTATTTCAAACGTTTTTTTCAGTAAAACTTTATAGCTTATATGTTATTTTCTCTACTTTATATCAAAATGAAATTGGACAATCCGACCGACCTTGTAACCACAAAAAAAATTGAAATA